TTTTAAGTACTAATAAATTAGTGCTTTAAAGATATCTTTATATGTAAAATACTTAAAAATAATGCTTTTAATATGTTACTATTTACTAAAAGTAGTTACTTTTTTAGTTAGTTAAGTATAAGCATAAGTAATAGTTTTTTTAAGCTATTTATATATTTTTTTTATTTCTTTAACATTCTATACTAAGTAGGTTATAAGTAGTAAGGCTTTAAAGTAACTCTAAACTTTATATAAAGTAAAAAAAGTAAGTGTAAGTTTAAGTATAAAATACTATTTTTACTATTTTTAAACTTTTTTTTTTATGTATACTTTAGCTTTTTTTTAACTAGTCTTTTTAGCTATAACTTTATTTATTTTTACTATACTTATTACATCTTTTGCTTAGTGCTTTAAAAAGAAGATTTTTACATATGTCTATAAGCTTCTACCTTACTTAAAGCCTTAGCTACTACTTATTTAGAAATAGTGCTGTAGCTATGTTACTGCGCTATTATTTAAAAAAAGTAGTAAAAAGCTTTTAGCTTTTAATCTTTACATAGCTATAAACACTAGTGTATGCTTAAAAGACACACTATTTAGTGTTTATAAAGGCTATACTAATAAAAAAGTAAGTAGCTATGTAAAAGTAGGTCTTTTTAAAGCTTTTTAAGTTTATGCTAACTTTATATAGCTTAACTTTTACTTTTACTGCACTAGAAATATTCTTTAGTACTATATTAACTAAGCTTTTAACTATAATAAACGCGCTATTAAAACTATAAGTGTAACGATTCTACGAATCGTTCCATCTCGGGTCGCTCAGATCCTATCCGAAGGGTCCCTGTATCGGCCCCGACCATGACTCAACCTAGTCCCCTGCTGTTACCCCTATTCCCTTATGTATTTAGTTGCACCTTGCCCTGTAGCTAGCTTAGTAGTTTTCTAATATCCTTTTGTACAAGGCCTATAGGTGTTAATGGCATTCCTAGGTTTAGAGTCCCCACGCACTTTTATATGCTTCTAAGTAGATTCCTACTGCATTTAGACCTATTGTCTTGCCTGCGCTGTTACATTATATTAGAAAACTTACTTTTACTAGTAATAGCCTTATTAATAATATTACATTAATTATTTATTTAACTATGTCTAACTTTAAAAAGTGTTTAATTTAGTTTAAGTTGCAGTTTTTACATACTGTTACATTAAATTATTTAGTTATTATAGATAAAATCTTAGAAACTTTTTATTAACTAAAGCTTTTAAGTTTAGAACTTTTTATCTCTTATAATTAAGATTACCTTTAGAAAAGTTATAAAAAGTGCGCTAAAGTAAAAACCTAAAGACTACTAATAACTTATTAGAATTAGAGATAACTACTAATACCTAACTCTTAACTACTCTTAGACCTTAGTATAAAGCTTGCAACACGCTCTAGTTGTGGCTAAGGTAAGATGCCTACTACTAAAGCTAAATAACTACTAACCTTAACAGCTAAACCTTTTTTTATAGGACCTAAAGCTAAAAACCTACTAGATTTAGAGTTAAACTCTAGCAATATAGCTCTTAAAGACTAAGTTGCTTAATTAAGGGCATAAATTAAACAGCTAACTAGATTAAAAACTGTTAGTCTTAATTATTCTCTACTAACTACTAAATCACTCTTAATAATGCCTTAAATTACCTATGCTACACTAATAGCAAGAGACTTTTTAGGCACCCCTAAGCTCTCTTAAAGGCCCTCTTCTTGTCCTTATTACTCTCTGCGTTTTAGGCCGCCGCCTATAGCTTAAGATGGCTCTAAAGGACTAGAAATTCCTCCTTGCAATATAAGGGGACCTACGCGCGCGTTAGTGAACTATACCCTAGCTGTATTAAACTATATTTGTACAAAGTTGCATTTTTTATTGCGTAAGGTGTAATACTTGCATTTCTTTAATTTAAAGGACTAAAAAGAGAACTTAACCTAAAGGCTACAGGCTAAGGTGCAGGCAGCCTAAAAGCAGATAACTTAAAAGGCCTCTAAAGAGGCTCTAGAAGGGGGGCAGAGCAGCATAGTAAATTTCTTTAATACTATAATTAATTAGCAGACTAAGGTATAAGATGTTAGGTGCACAACAATACCTACAAAGTAGAGATTTAGATAATAGCTAAAGAAGAAACTAACAACATTAACTAGACTATATAAGTAAGGCAAGCAAACACTTGTTGCTATAAATAATAAATTTGCTATATTAACAACAACTACACTGCTAGTTACTACTAAACAAAAACATTATAACAAAGGCATTATATTAGTATTAGGTCTTTAGTTTAGTTTTTTTTTAGTAACAGAAAATTTTAGTTAAAAGGTTGTACTTTGTTGTATTCTATCTAAATTAGTTCTAAATTAGTTCTAAATATTTTCTATACACTATAGATAGGGACTATTAGCTTACAGAGAGGGGGGTAGTGTAATAATTCTATAAATTGTTCTATCTTAGGTCGCTTAGATCCTATCTGAAGGGTCCCTGTATCAGCCCCGACCATGACTTGACCTAGTCCCCTGCTGTTACCCCTATTCCCTTATGTATTTAGTTGCACCTTGCCCTGTAGCTAGCTTAGTAGTTTTCTGATATCCTTTTGTACAAGGCCTATAGGTGTTAATGGCATTCCCAGGTTCAGAGTCCCCACGCACTCCCATATGCCTCTGAGTGGATTCCCACCGCATTCGGACCCATTGTCTTGCCTGCGCTGTTACAATAAGTAACTTAAGTTAAAAACTTAACTTAGATGCTAAAGCTTAGCTTTACTATTAGAAAAATGTTTTTTTATATGCGCTAGCCTTTAAAAAGCATATTAATGCATACTTCTAGTAGCTAAAGCGTAAGACTAAGGGCTTTACGCTAGTAAAGTATGCCTAGTAGTGTTAGGTTTTCTAAGAACATAACTATAAGCAGTATAAAGTATGTCTTAGTATTATAAGTTATTTAAATTATAGCTAACTTTATTTTAAAGTAGTTTTAGTAGCGTTAGTAAAAACTATCTAAATAATACTATTATTTAGTCTAAGTTTAAGGTAATTTTTTTTAAGAACAGCTACACAACTAACTAGAAAAAACAGTAGTACTACTACAGGCTAAATATACCTGCTGCTAAGAAAGTAAGCTTACTAGTTATAAATTAGTAGTCTAGTACAACATAAATAAATTAAAAGTGTGTAAAACTTTTATTTTACTAAAAAAGTAGCTAGTAATGTTTTTTAAAAATCTTTAAAATATTTCTATTATATATATAGATAATACCTAGTCTAGACTTTACTTAGAACCTCTCTAGGTCTAGTGTGGCCCTAGACAGTACCTTTAATACAGACATTTCTACTACACTCTAGGTTATAACTTTATAAGCTATATAAAGTTAAAATTTTATAGTAAGAAGTATAAGTTATTACTTTATTCTTTTTTTATCTATGTGCTAACTTCTTTTAGTAATTCTTATATTATAAAGTTTAGATTACATTAGGTTTTGCTGCAAGTGCTAAAGTTAGTGCAGTTATACTCTAGAGGGTACCTATAAATGTAGCATTTAGCTATTACTTCTGTTGCAATGCATTATAAAAGGTAAGCTAATAATTTTACAAAACTTTTTTATAGTTATTAAGGTGTTTTTTAAGTTTTTAGGTAAAGTCTTTAAGAAGCTACCTAAGCTACTTTATAAAAAACTATTATTCTACCTTTAGATCTTTGTGTTTAAGAATTCCTTTAACTTTATAGCAGTCTCTGCTATCTGTCTCTAGGACAGCCTTAGAAGAGGTAGTGGCTGTGGCCCTGCTTTTACATGTGCAGCTGCTACTAGCTATTGTTGTTACAGCTCTTTAATTAAGGTAGGGCTTAAGAAGCAGTAGTAAAAGTAGCCTTCTGTTCTTTAAACTAACTGCGTCTCTGTAAGAGAGTATAAAAGATTTAAATTATAAGAGCACTGTAAAGCAAAAAGCATAAAGCGCAGAAGGGGGTACAGGATAGTATTAATAGACAAATCCTTAAGGAGACTTAGGGGTTTGTGAGAGGATATATATATGTGCTAGGGCACGTGACAGGACGTCATGTGCCTAAGGCCAGGCCGAGGGCTCTCTAGGGAGAGTCTAAGGCATGTCCAAGTTAACTGTAACAGCTATAGAATGTTGCTTTAAAAGTGTTATATCTTATTTAAAAGCCTAGAGTATAAGCTGTATCTAACATTTTTTTAGTGCGTCTAAGTAGTGTTGTTAGAAATGCACTTGTGTAAAAAAAAAGTAGTTTAGTAAAGTCTTAGTAAAAGTAATTAACTTAGGTGTGTAAGTAACTTGCTTATAGTGTACGTTATATTAAATTTAACTTTAAGCTTTTGTTAGCGCTTAGTAAACATACTAAGCTAGTTTATACTAATATAGCCTAGTTTACACTTAGTATGTTAAAAATTAATTAATTTAGCTAAGTTAAGTATATGCTAAATAATTACCATTTTAGTTTTATTTACCTTTTATAATTTAAGTATAAATCTACTTATAAATGCTATCTAGCGTGTTAATTGCTTAATATTATATAAAAGATGTTGTAACAGGCTGTAGCATGTTATAAGTAATTATTACATCTTATTTAAGAGCTTAAAGTAGAAGCTATACTCTAGCTTTTTTAAAAAGTTCTAATTAGTGTTGTTGTTAAGGCATTATAATGTTAGGATAGTTTTAGTAGGGTCTTAGTAGAATAGCCAGCACACCTGTGAGATACGTTAACCTTTTTATGTTAAAATACTAGTATCCTTCCCCTTTCGTGTTGCATACTTTGGCACAAAGGAGGGGGATATACACAGTCTGTTCCTTCAGATGCCCTCTTCAATTTTAGCAATAGTACACATCCTCCCAATAGTGTTCCGAGCAAAACGAAAGCTATACTACTTCCCCTCAGGTTTCAAACCCAAACTTATAGTCTCTTAGGGGATGTGTCTTAATAGTTTTTGAGCATGCTTCGCCTTTGAAATACATTGATATTACTTTTTATTATTATGTGGGTATACCTTGCACCGCCCTCGTTACTCTAGTTCTTCATTGCCGTCGCTCTTATAACCCACAAGCATTGGTACTAAGTGATGCAATGCAGATGCTTCTTCCAATTCACTTTTTGAACCATCCAGCAAGTCCTTTCCCCTGACTCTTTCTTCTCTCTCTCTCTTCTTTTTCCTTCCTCTCCTTGTCTTTCTGCAAGATCACAAATAGGAAATCTCGATCTCTCTGCTCTAATTCCTTTTCGGTCATCAGTCCCTTCCCGCCATCCGGCGCCTCGTCTTTGACTTCGGCTACTGTGCCTTCTATAATTCCCACGGCTTGTGTCAACCGTCTTGTCTTAGAAATGAGCCACTCCTTGTGAGCCAGTCCATTAGACCAGTGAGGAGGCAAGTTGCTATAGTCTACCCATGCACCCAAGAGAGCACCTGCCGCTGCTCCATTTGTATCTGAGTCACCCCCTTCCATGATGAGATCCGTAATTAATTCTTCGAAGAGCGCGGGTGGCGAGATTGAACCCATCTTTGAGGCGCGAATGGCCTTACGCAGAGTCACAAGAGCAGAGCCCAAGCACTTGTAGATATATCCCATCTCCATAGCACTATCGAGTTGTAACTCTGGTAAATTCGTCGCGTAAACGTGGCGCTCAAATTCTTTGCGTTCAAGATGTCTTTTGATTTCCCATTCGGTAATGTCAGGATCGAGACCTGGGTTCATGAGTTCTGGCTGCGCGAACACCCAGCTGTATGCGCGTTCAATCGCTTTATCAACGTCTCCTTCGCTGAGGATCTCTCCACGGATCATACCACGGATCAAGCCCACGGAAATGCAACATGCAACAACACATCGTGGATCAACATGAGTCGTTCTGCCCACTTCCGTCGCTACGTTCCAGGTCTCCACTTCACTCAATCCGACACAAATCACCCCAATTGGGTGTGTCCGCATTAGGCTTCCATTGGGGGCTGCATGTCGTCGCGTCTTCAGCCACCGTTTGGTAGCTATATCAACCGGGTCCTTTAGATAATCAGGGTTCATGGTCACAGAGCCAACGAGAGCGCCAATCCCGCAAGGGGGCCTATCAAGAGCTCGGAGGCCTTGAGTGCACCAGATTTGGAGGCGTGAAGCGAAACTTTGCGGAACCTTTTTGAGGGCGTCAGGAGAGGATTGGGCCTGTAAATATGCAAGAAGAATAAGGATGGCCTGATCTGTATCGTCTGTCCAAGCGCATTTCTCGAACCGATCTATCGGCTTGTTAAGGATGCTCTATGCTTGACTTTGGATAGAACTCGAGGATTAATGAGGGCATACTTACTCCTATGGCTGTCCGGATACCACTCCGTTGTAGGCTCTACAAGCCTGAATGCCCTCTCTTTATAAATCGTCTCACAAGCATGCTTCGGCAAGAACTCCGTGTACAAGCCAATTGTGTCTCCCAATGCAGACCCAATTATACATCCATAGACCCGGTCTATCACGGTTTGCCTGACAAAAGGATGCACATCCAAGAATCTCAGGTCCGGCTTCGCAGGTGTGACTTCTAGTGGAGTTGGTCGGGCATTGTTCGATTTGTCGTTGAGAGGGTCTTCGGATGTTGGGTGCTCGATATGAACAAAGTCTGCCATGATTGGGGCATACGAAAGAGAAAATGGGATATGGTTCGGAAGGTGTTTAACGGGTTTAAAGATAAATAAAGTGGAAGCCTGGATCGTGGGGCCTTGGCATGGCGGTCGAGTCGTGGTGGCTGAGCCATTTTGGCTCGCCTCGTATCCGACCGAAATTTTGAAGTGACACCTTGGCTGCGAATTCTGTCTTGCAATGCAAAGACGCAAAAGGGTGCCAGTGCTAAATAGGAAGCAGGAAGCAAGATCAGGACTGGGTTAGTCAGTATATTGATCCTTGTCGCCCACTCAACCTCGGGGCCTTTCAGCGACTTCCATTCATCTCTCAACGCCTCTTTTCACCAAACCCTAACTTGCTTCCCCGCTGATAGAATCGCAGTGTAACAGTGGGCTAATCTACGGGCCCGAAGTTTGACGTACAAGCTCCGCGAGTACGTGTCCTCGTTTCTCTACTGACCCTGAATTCACGCCAGCCCAATGACGCGTTCTCGAATAATTCCAATTCAGGCATCATCTTTTATCTTCAAATACGTCTCGAACAACTTGTTTTCATCCAGCTCATTCGCCGATAGAACGCGGGTGCCTAAATACCAAGACCTGTCCGATGACTTGAATTCTCCATGTTTGCGAGTTTCATTTGTTTATATAGGCACACCTTATTAGTGCTGTTGAAGATCAGCATTCGTATGTCGCGTTGTCTATTCCACAAACTGATGAATCAATATGTACTACGAAGAACAGAATACGTCTACCACCAACAAACATAATGCAACCTCCCGTCCCCACAAAAAAAAAAAAAAAAAACTTCTAGCGCGGACACTTGGCACATCGGAAGCACACCTCCGTGCTCTACATATTCATTTCCTTTCCACTTAGAAGATAGCGATCCGATACCGGAATTGATGCTTCAAGCATCGGCTTTGCACTTAGCACTGCACAATCGAGCGTCAGTTCTCTGAAAACAGTGGATGAAATTAAACGTCCACTTGGGGAAGAGACTTACAGCAAGTGGTTTTGGTGAGGGACATCCACCTTGCGCTTGGTAGTAGCATGCCATGGAGGCCGCCCATTCAAATTCGCATCTCTACATCTCCCAGTTAGTCATCAGCGTACAACCCTTCCAAGTCCTTCTCTATTATCGCCATTAATCATCCAAATATGTCCCGCTTTCAGTTATCCTACGTATCCCTCCATCTTTCCTTTCTCTTTTCGCTCTCCACTGCTATCCATCATGAACACAAAACACGAGAATCGCTCACCTCGGATGGCGTTAATTGATCGACTGGTACAATAGGTTTTGGACAGTTGCAAGCTTGGATGAATGACGGGGTCGGCTCTTTGTGTGGGTTATGGTGGCCACTGGATGTATTGGTGGGAGTCGATCCGTTGGTTGCATTTGGAGCGAGAGCATACCGACCGAGCTGAACAGCTCGAGGAGCGGCCCACTGATACGGTGAAGCAACAGCCGTAGCCGCCAAAGCAAAAGCGAGCACAGTAATGTGCATGATGAAGAAAGGCGTCCTAAAAGCCCCGTAAGTGACTAGTTCCTGACCGGCAAGAGGGTGGAAGTTGACGTTTTAGGAGATTTCTTAGGGATCAACACAATTCGATTGTCACACAAAACAAGCCAAAGAGAAGACCAAGAAGAGCGCAAATACGAGCCCCGGGCCTTAAGAACTATGTATAAGCAAGCCTTTGCCCACCTGGACGTGGCCTTATCACCAAGCACCCACCAGCCTCCCTGCTCTCCCCACAATTTGCCCAGCAACCACCGCGAAAATATCTGAAATACCAGAATCTGGGTAGATTTGCTGCGCGTTTTCATATCAGTATATAAATTTCCATTTGGGGTTGGCGGAAATCCTGGCTAGGGTTGAATATCCGGCTAAACCGCCCAACTCTCAAGTGGCAACTCATGGCAGTTTTGACGATGCTCATTGGATCATTCATCGCTTAGTAGATGGGCTAACGGATTGGGGGAAAGCATGCCGATGCGAGCATATCAATGTGACACGCTGGTAATGAGTTCAGAATTGCAAACGACGCGGCTCTCTTTGGGCCTCATGGACTAAGTTCAAAAGACCCGGACGCGCAACTGATGAAGCTCGGTGCAGCGTCTGCATAGCGCGAGGTCCCTTAGGGTCCAGTGATGCCGTCCCGTAGGCCCGCTATATTAAATTACAATGTAAAGATCTAATCGGGTTGTTGAATACCGACATTCGTTATTTTGGGATCAGCTGCAATGTCGAGAGGTAATTAGAAATGAGAGCACAGCATTCAGTATATTGCGAACTAGAGGAATACTGCAATGGCTGGGTGTGATGTTTTACTCTTGCGATTGTCTCGGCCAGCTTGACTGAACCTTAAAGCGTTCATGCTAACGTTAGATCATGACGTATGAGCAATGATCATAGCAAAATTATCAACTGCAATTTTAAACTTTAAGTGCTAAAGCCTAGGCCGGTGGACTATTCGATCGAAGGGGGAAAGCTTGCGCTTTAGTGAGTAAACCGTCAATGGTGGGGACTTGGCCTTCGAGAGTTCGAACGAGCAACAAATGACGGAGTTCACACGGTGAAAACGTCAAACCCGACTTCCTCGCTCGCTTGCCTCAGAAGTACCGATACCTTCGTTCACTCTGAGCCAGCAAGACGTTTCTAAGGCTATCTAACTAGCCACTCAGATCCACAAAACCTACATTTCCATCCAAATGCGTTTAATGCGACTAAGGATGACATGGTAGCAAGCATATTCGCAGGCCTGAGTTTCGGGCGCCGCATAATACAGAGACACAAGCTGCCGTATATCAGCTTTCCAAGAGCTCGGTTGAGAAACACCCGACTCTTTACTGACTGCTGATTGAAAGTTTGAAACTAGCTGGTGACAAATGTGGACCGGATAGAACATGTTCCGTCGATCACGGTCGATCATTGCAAAGGCGACGGTAAAATTTAGACAAAGGAGAAAGGGAGCCCGAAAAGAAGAAAGACAGGCTATGAAGAAATGAAGAATGTAGAATAGTGGAGGTGCGATAGAAGAGCCGCAAGAAGGATATGTACCCTTACTACGGAAGGCGGGACGAAAGCACATAACTGTTGGAGGATCCCAATACCTGCAAATATTCCCCGAGTGTCTGATTCAAAGGGTATCCATTGAGCGCTCCAAATTCCAGGCTTGTTTATTATGTACAATTATGTTGTTCACATTCAAAATTTCTATGTTTCTCTTCTCTTTTATTGGCGATAATTCGTGTTCACACATCCGCATACGGCATGGCATTATCCAAAGCCCACTGCCTAATCTGATCAAAGTTCCTACACGCATGGTGCTGCTCATAATCGGGCCAAAACCCCTCGAGCCCCGGCTTCTCATGGAAAGTGAAAACGTTTACATCGGCTTGGCACATGAGATTCTCTCTTAGAATCTCAATGCAATGGTCTACAATGACAATTAGTAACTCCGCTTGAGAAGATAGAGAGTAGGAATGATGTACCGAGATGCATTCGCACTTTCTCGGGTTTGTCATTAGTATCCGACCACCACAACTTAGTGTAGTAATCCGGGTACGTCGACATGCGCAATAGATTCAAGCAGTGAAGTTGATGGAAAACTTCTAGGCCAACACGGTACCCGCCCTCTCCGGTCTTGGGGTCAGTGACCTTCATTGAGTCGAGTGGCTTTTGGAGCTTCGCCATGTCTTCTACTCGAACCATTTGATCCGGTACTGCAGGGAGAGTTAAATTAGCAGAGGGGAGAGTTGATTTGATGACTCACGGTAAGCAATGTCCATCCAAGCATTGTCAACATCGTCCGTGATGCCGACATATTTGGATGCGTTGAGCGGATTTGGGAACTCAAACTTGACGTGATGGTATTCTACCACGTGTGCGGCAGGAGCTAGCTGAGTTAACAAAGAGGATCGCTCAGCTAAGAGATACTACTCACAATAGATATCGAAGTCATCCATCAACTTCGCCGCCGAATGAATGTACGTTGTGCTTTGGGAGAAGATTGCGCATATGAGGATCATGATCGATATTGTGAATAAGAAGAGGTTAAAGAGTGTGATCCATAGCATGCCCCTCTTCGTCTTGGCTTCTTTGATATAGTGGTTGTTGAGGAAGGCTGTCTTTTCGTAGTCGCCTTCAGAACTCAAATCGTCTCGATCTGTGTACTTCGAATCCATGATGAAGGACGATTGGAGACGGTGGGGTTGTCCGATCTACTAGTAATTAAAGTGTTATACACAAAAATTGCGATGTAAATTCGACCAGCGAAGGGGGAGAATTGAAGACGAGGAAGAGCGCTCAACGCTGGAATCTCGAAGACAGAGGAGACCTGGTAGTTGGTCTGGAAGAGAACGCTTTGCGTGAGAAACCTGAAAGGTCGATCATACGTCTCAGAACAAACAGCCGTCCGCATTAGTAGTAGTATTCCTCGTGAAGCTCATGGCATAGTCCCACGGTATCAGGCTGCGATGGGTGTCTGAGTTGGGAACACTGAAGAGGAGGGTCTGCGCATTTCAGCAAGCCTTTGGGCAAGTAACACCGTGCCTCAGGCATCCTGTAACGGCCAGGCTAACCGCTTTCCAGGCTTTTGCAACGGGACAGTGGTGGATTGTGGTTGGTCAGTGGTCCCGTTTCGGTTTGGAGACAGGCGCTAAGCGATGTCTTGGAACTCTTGGCCCTTCACCAATGTTTTATCTTGGCGATCTAACTAACAAGGGATATTCTGGGTGTGGCAAGGCATTTGAGACTCTGGTGACGCATAAGCTTCCGTGTCAACTTTCTCTCAACGCCAAAAGTTTCCTGTTTGGAAGCCTCAGGTGCAGCGGCATTTTGGACTGACAGCCCGGAGCAGCCACGACACTCCAGCATCGTTTCACCACGTTTTGCGCCTTGCCAAGGACTCTTCATGAGGTTAGACAGCGCAAACATGCCATTGGTGAGGTTGGCACTTGAAGGGGCAGTTCACGATCCTTTCTAGTTTACTAGATTGCAGGCTCTCGATTATGACATCCGCTTTAACCGTTCAGCGGCCGGGTTTACCTAATCTCGCCTGGCTGGGTTATAATGGAAACAGGACATATTCCCGCCCGAGGCATAGCGCGTCTCCCCTTAGAACACGAGACGATGCACGCCCTAGAGTAAGGGCTTCCGGACTCGCGTATGGCTGCCATTGTAGCCTCTGAGCCAACATCGTTAATGCCATCTAGAATCCAGACACCAACCAATCAAGACCTGATCAAGAAGAACTGCATCCACTTGAGTATAAAGGTTCACGCGTCCCATCAGACCATGTTGGCAGCGCGTCGATCGTTCTCAAACTTGCTCAAACTCCTTTTTGCTTCTCCTCCGTAGTCGGTGGCCGGTCCATCCTTCGTTCATTGTAATTGGCTGACCCGTACATTCCTTTCGTATCTTCATCATGAGGCTCAACGGCTTCCTTCCCCTACTCGCCTTCAGCGCTTCAACTGTGGCATATGTTGTTGCTGACAAGCCTTTTAACGCTGACGTAGTTGAGGCTCGTGAACCTGTAAGTATATGTCTGTCTTAAATGCCTAAGTCTTAGCTAATAGTATGTAGGGAAGTGGTCCAGTACTTGCTTCTTCTTTCGTCAACGCTCTTCGCCTTCGTGAGCCTGCTCCCTATCCTCATCACAAGGGAAAGGGCAAAAAGGTGAACCGGCGTTCACCAGTGCCTCACCATAAGGGTAAGGGCAAGAAACAGAACAAGAGAGAGCCAGATCCAGTGGCCGTCCCGGAACCTCACCACAAAGGAAAGGGAAAAAAGCAAAATCGCGAAGCTGAGCCCGAGCCTATCCCTGAGCCCCACCACAAGGGCAAGGGCAAGAAGCAGAACCGTGAAGCCGAGCCGGAACCTATCCCCGAGCCCCACCATAAGGGAAAAGGGAAGAAGCAAGCTCGTGAGGCTGAACCGGAACCGGAACCTCACCACAAGGGCAAGGGCAAGAAGCAGAACCGTGAAGCCGAGCCGGAACCTATCCCCGAGCCTCACCATAAGGGGAAGGGGAAGAAGCAAGCTCGCGAGGCTGAACCAGAACCGGAACCTCACCACAAGGGCAAGGGCAAGAAGCAAGCCCGCGCGGCCGAGCCAGAGCCGGAACCTCACCACAAGGGGAAAGGAAAGAAGCAAGCTCGAGAAGCTTCACCGGAGCCAGAACCGCACCACAAAGGCAAGGGCAAGGCTAAGAAGGCGAACAGGGCATGAATCTGTCTTCCAAAGAGTGGGTCTGCGGTTGGAAAACAGAGACTGCTGGTGCGCGGCTGTTGCCTGGTTTCGAGGCAATTTCTTATCTTCAGTCTATTGATTCGCTGAGGTCTGGCCTCTTTGTATCTATGAATTATTGGCGATGGTTGTAGAAATAGCTATACGAAAAATTGGATGCAGAGCAACGGAGCAGTATGTCCTATCGTGATATCAAATCTTTATCGCATTCGCGTTCGCAGGATTGGAGTCCGAAAGGAAGTCGATTGGCGTTTCTCGTCTCCTCAGCTCTAGCTTCGAACTTTCCATGTTCGAGCATCGTTTCTCGGTCTCCGATTCGAGACAACCTTTCAAGTTGGGTAACGGGTGCTGTGTTCTATGTGCTACGGGCATGGCGTGTGGCGAGTAACTGTACATTGGCATTCGGGAACCCAACACCATTCTTGTTACGTATTCGCGATGGATGAGGGGAGATTTTGATGGGATGAGGTTTAAGTTAGGTTGGACGTCGTTTCAAATCCGCATTGGAAAGACGCTAAGTCTATTTTGGTTGCATCCCCAGAAGGACTGTTTTTCTTGCGGTAAGCACAAGCCTCATTTGCCGAACCGCTCAAAGTCCCCTCAGCAAAAAAGAGCACCCTTTCCGCTCTGTATTCTTCCAACCAGTCTGACTTGGGATAGGAAATTCTATCTTTGTGATGCCCCCTGGCGTCCACTTCAGATTTTAAGAACGTATCCTCTGCTTAGCTCAATTACTCCGTTTTTTTCAACTTCCCTTCCAATGCGCCCCTGTGACCCTTTGCCAACAAAGCTCAATAGCTTTCAATCAATAAGGGAGAATCTACAAGTGATGAGGTAGAAGGAATAAGAAGAATAGGAAGGTCAATGACTGATGGCAATATAAATGGTTTCGGTGTTAATATACTCCTTGTACACTATCTCCCTACGCTCCCACGGGAGCCTAAAGAAGAGCGATTCTCTTTAGTCAGATGCTTCCCTCTCATCTCTGTGACCAAAGGGCAGGGCGAGTGCTCTTTTTCCTAGAACTTGGAGGAGGTATTAGTTCTTTGATCTACCTCCACTTCAGCCTCCGCTTGTAGTGAGCGTTCTTTTCGTAGTGCTTCTCTATTTTATGGTTGATCGCTTCCCAGGACTGTCGCAATGAAGGTACCATGAAGCCAGAAGAACTAAACCCAAAATACGATCTGTGGGCTTAAAGCCATTGCCAATTTGTCACTAAGGTATTCTGATGAGGTCGGCGAAAGAGGTGGGGAGCGCGCAGCCAGGCTCTGCTAACCCTACCTGTATTCGCACTGATCTTTTGCTTCTGTCTTGAGAGTTGAAATGCCAAGCGAAGCTAATCAGAGCCAATAATGAGAAACATCTCACATTGTACTAAATATGATACTAAGAAAGTATAGAGAATCTTCATACCGTGAGCAAGGAATTTCGTAAGCAGTAGCTCACGCTGTATGCGTGTCCCACGCCTCGCCAAACCTCCACACTTCTTCGCCTTCAATTACTCTCTCCCATTGTCCCACCACCTTCGGATTCGGATACCTTTTCGATTTCCATTCCATCTCAACCTCAATTTGATGTTTACCTCTCACACTTACAGCCTCCAGAGGCTTTAAAACTAGGTCGCAGTAACTATTCTTATCCAATTCATGAAATCTAATGCTGAACACATTATCAGCAATAATTACTCTCGGATTCTTCAACCCCTTCATATGGGCAAGAACCTCACATACCATCGGCTAAATCCCTAATTCCTCTTCATTCGGTTTCAGGGGCGCCGGGTTGTAGAACTGCTTGAGATGGGAGCGGGGAAGAAATTAAGCTTGCTGTAGTCGTGGCGATTGATGCCGAACCAATTTTGAAATTCAAACTGGACATTTCTGAGACTTTCGAATCGTTTGGGGAGAATTGTTGCTGAGAATGCAAGAAGGCATTCCGGGGCTAAGAAATGTGTACGTTAGAGTGGAGTAGGGGAGATTAATAGCCTCACAGTAACTAATAGCTATTAGAAATATTACTTTACAAGGAATCTAAGAAAAGTGCAGGAATAGAGGAAAACGTAAGATTGTATATCTTCCCTATACACGATGTTGGGTTGGCTTAGACGCCTCCATACCTGGAGGGATTTGCCTCCGAAAGTGGAGGCATCTAAGCCAGCGATTTTTTTGGCACCGGAGAGTCTTAGATCTACGATCGATCTGTATTCATTACTTAATCGTTGTCAGTTAACTTATAAGGAGCTTCCCACGTCTCGGTGTTGTTTCACTCTAAGCCTCTCAACCTTCACCCCTTTTTTCTGCTTACTCTCTCCCGTGCACAGTAGATCTGTGCCTATTACCCTATTATACCATTCCTCAATGTCAGCGCGAAGGCAAGTGTGCCGCACAATGCTCCCCAGTCTGCACTGACACAGATGATGAGACCGAGCAACTGAGAATGGCTCAGCGCATGTCGAGGATGCCGAGAACGCGAGGGCCCAACCTTGGGGCCATAGGTATATGATTCATACATTGCACGATACTAATCAGGCCCATGTGGTGTCAGACTGGTGGCGGAGCGTAGTTAATATTCACGGCGAGACGACACGGACTGCCCGGCAGCGCCGTTGCAAAAACTTTCTCCAATTTGCAGACGCAGAGTCGGTCGCATCTATAAAGCCAGGCGCTGTCTCTCTGGGAAGCGCAGTCAGAGACTTCTCGAATTGAATTCGGCACGGATTTCCCCTTCAGGGCCATGATTTCGTCATGGTCACTTCCCGCACTCGTACCTACTCCGCGGCACCTTCCTCGAAGCTCCCATCGAAGAATGTCTACTTTGTCGACACCTAGCTTCAGCTCAAGACCTGCGATCCTCCAACTAAGGAAGGTGAGAATGCCCTATCATTGGGAAATTGACCTAGTTTCTAACATTTCTTAGTTAATTCGAATGGCAGCATGCACCTTCCTTAAGACTCTCCCTTGCTCGCTCATGACAGCTCCTACCCTATGATCAGCGCTAAGTACCCGCTCGCTGCCATTAGTTCTTAACTGTCCTTGCTTCCAGATGAGATCTCCAAACCTGCCAATTTCAACCTTTGAAGAAATGCTATGTAATACTCTAGACGGTTCTGTTTACATTTTTCGAGAGCCTGCCGATTTAGGTTTAGAAGGGGTGTTCGCTCTTATTGCTCATGAGCCTGTTGAGCTAGGTCTAGAAGAGAATAGCGACTCCCGACACACTCTCCATGCCGATTTACCTTACGAGGTGTAGACCGCCGAACCAGCTCTTCAAGGGACCCAGAACACCGAGCATAGACCTCAAGAGTCTGACACCGGGTTGGCTAAATCTCGGCCCGGAGAGCCCTGAGCAACTGCTATCTCGGTCCCAGAAGAAACCTCCACTGCCAGCGCTGCGCCTCAGCACTCACAAATTGCGATCCCCGAGATATACAGCCCATAGACGTCCCACCTCAGCAACTTGAGCTCTCCGATCACTACTAAGGACTTAAAAATAACATTAAGAATAACTTAGGCTATATAAACTAACCTATAATACTTAACCTACTAGTTAGTAAAGTAAGCTACTTAAATTAACGTACTCTACAGGCAAGTTGCTTACACACCTAAGTTGTTTACTTTTACTAATACTCTACTAAACTACTCTTCCTACACTAATGCATTCCTAACAACACTACTTAAACGTGCTAAAAGAATATTAGATACAGCTTATACTCTAGGCTTTTAAATAAAACATAACACTTTTAAAGCAATATACTATAGCTATGTATAGAGTCTTTTAAAAGATAATAAATAACTAACATGCTAGATAACTTTTACAAGCTAATTAGTGTGTCTAACTGTTAGTACACCTGATAGTACAGTAGTGCAGTACACTTATTTTAGTCACGTACGTACGTATAGTGTAACAGCGCAGGCAAGACAATGGGTCTAAATGCGGTAGGAATCCACTCAGAGGCATATAGGAGCGCGTAGGGACTTAATAACCTAGGAATTCTATTAACACCTATAGGCCTTGTATAAAGGATATTAGAAAACTACTAAGCTAGCTATAGGGAAGAGGTGCAACTAAATACATAGGGAAATAGAGGTAACAGCAGAGGACAGGGATAAGTCATGGTCGGGGCCGATACGGGGACCCTTCGGATAGGTTCCGAGCGACCCGAGATGGAACAATTCATGAGAGTCGTTACATATAGGGCACCTACTTAGTATACTATACTATACATAAGGCTGTTGTACTAACTGTTTACAGTAGTTATATAAGATTTTTAGTAGTTTTAGGCAGTTAAAGGCAGGTTGCTAAGGGCTAGAGAGCTTATGTTTAGAGATTAATATAGAGAATGCTGTTAGTGCTTATTTTATTAGTAATCTTTTAATAAATTTAGGAACTATGCTATCTACTTTATTTTTTTACTTATTATAATGTTCTAATTTTTATCTTAATTAAAAACATAGTTATTTTAGCATGTTACTACTTTATAGGCTTTATCTTTATAGGCTTTATTTTTATAAGCCTTATTCTTACATGCTTTATCTAGCTATTCTACTACTTAGATATATTATGTGTAACGATTCTCATGATTCGTTCCATCTCGGGTCGCTTAGAACCTATCCGAAGAGTCCCTGTATCAGCCCTGACTATAACTCAACCCTGTCCCCTGCAGTTACCTCTATTCACCTAAGTATTTAGTTGCACCTCTTCTCTTAGCTAGCTTAGTAGTTTTCTAATATCCTTTGTACAAGGCCTATAGGTGTTAATAGGATTCCTAGGTTGTTAAGTCCCTACGCACTTCTATATGCCTCTAAGTAGATTCCTACCGCATTTAGACCTATTGTCTTGCCTATGCTGTTACATTATATTAGAAAACTTGCTTTTGCTAGTAACAGCTTTATTATAATATTACACTAATTATTTATTTAACTATGTCTAAGCTCTAAGACGTGTTTAATTTAGTTAAGGTTATAATACTTACACACTATTATATTAAACTATTTAGTTTATAAATAAGATCTTAGAGACCTTCTATTAACTAAAGCCTTTAGGTTTAGAACTTTCTATCCCTTATAATTAAAATTGCCTTTAGAAAAGTTATAAAGAATGCGCTAAGGTAGAAACCTAGAGACTACTAATAACTTATTAGAATTAGAGGCAACTGCTAATGTCTAACTAACCACCCTCTAACTCTAGAGTTAAATACGCTCTAGCTAAGCTATACCCTACCTAATTTAGAGTTAATGCATAGCAACAGGTCCTAATAGACCTTAATTAACTACTAAATTACCTCTAATAATGCCTTAAATCACTACTGCTACTCTATGTTACAACCTACAATTAGGCTGTAAGCTGCTAACCCTCTGTGCCCCACTGTTTAGACAAACAAGGATGGAGCCTCCCTGTCTTCCCATCCGACAAGTCACGTGACCTAACGGACAAGGAATGGACAGAGCTTCTAGACCAATGTACAGCCGAGTGCGTTGTCTAATAAGCTAAGCGCGTTTGCATGCTATGCATGCCATGCGCGCTATAAAGGTCTAAGCATGCAAGACATGCAGAGCATGCAACCCTATGTATATAGTTTAGGATCCTAACTACATTTAGAAGTTGTAATTAAAGTTTAGTTTATTATTACATAGACTAAGTAGCATTACTACTTTTTAATAAGAAGCAATCTAATTATATATCTTGTACTATATATACCTCTATCTTATTCCTATCTAGGAATTGTTTAACCTAAGCACCTTATACTGCTGTTAAAGGGCAAACTACAGTCATCCGCACCTTCTAGTCCTAATAACTACGCCTCGGCGGACTGTACACCCGTCTAAGACTAAGTTCTCTCCCCTCTAATCCCCTAACTCTCTCCCTTAGGCCTAGTGTACTTGGGACACCATTTCTCTAAAGTAAAGATTGTAACACTCTAGTAGCAAGAGATCTTTTAGGCACCTCTAATAATACCTAAATGTCTTCTTACTAAACGCACGCCTAAGACTAATAACTGCATAGATAGCAAGGAACAATTAGCTAGACATCTATATAGATTAATATTAGAGCGGGCGCGCAAGCATAGCGTTTAGTTTAGACACTGCTAGCAGTGCAGAGGAATACTTAGTAAGGAAACCTAGCTAAATTAGACTAGTTTTAGTTTAAGAAGGCAGAGGACATAACAGCAATACTTTATACTATAATTACTACTAATAAGGACTATTAGTCTATAAAGGGGGGAGTAGTGTAATAATTCTTATAAATTGTTCTATCTTAAGTTGCCTAGAACCTCTAGAAGGCCCCTGTATTAGCCCTAACCTTAACCTAGCCCTAACTCTGCCTAGCTCTCTGCTGTTACCTCTATTCCCTTATGTATTTAGTTGCACCTTGCCCCTGTAGCTAGCTTAGTAGTTTTCTAATATTCTTTATACAAGGCCTATAGGTGTTAATGGCATTCCTAGGTTCTAAGTCCCCACGCACTCCTATATGCCTCTAAGTAGATTCCCACCGCATTCAGACCTATTGTCTTGCCTATGCTGTTACATATATATTATTATTTTAAATACTATACTCAGCTTTAATTTTTTTTTATAAAGCTAAACTAGCTTTAAATTACTTTAAAAAATTTATAAAAAGCTTTTTTATAACGTACCTAACAGGTTGGCTGGCTACACAGGTTAGCCGGCTACTTTTGCTAAGCCCCTGCTAAAACCACTCTATTCTAGCGCAAAACAGCCTACTTTAGCCTTATATAAAGTAATATAACATAAGATATTATTTAAAGTCTACTTTTACTACTTACTTATATATATGTAAGTTATGCCTAGTTTAATTACACTACTTATATTGCTTTTAACTTAGCTTACTTTTTTTAGTGCGCACTTATATTTTTAGCTTTTTCTTATTACTACATACTTTAAACTTCTTTAAAGTAGTTAAATAAGCCTTATTTTTAACTATTAAGGTCTTTTTTACCTAAATTTACTTTTTTTTATATAATTTATATTACATAGTAGCCTTATTTACTACTTAAAGCTTTATAAATTTTCTTTTATACTAACACTAGCTTATGTATAATAATTACTACTTTTTTAAAAACTTTTTTAAAGGCCTTTACTATAGATATTAGTAAGCTATTTATATACTTTTAAATTTTTACTTTTATAAGCATTAATTATAACTTAAATTTAAAAGTATTACTTAGAGTTTATAACTACTAGAGCTTATTATTAATAACTAGTAGTAGTAATAAAGTATATAACTAAATATTAAAAGCTATTTTAACTTATTTTAAGTTAAATAAAACTAAACTAGCGCTTTAAAACTCGTTTTAAATATTACTAAAAGTAATTACTATATTATAAGTGTGTATAAAGCATAGTAAGAACTTAAGTTTTATAATATAAGTAATTTAGTTATATATAAAATCTTTAGCTTAGCGCTTATACACTTTTTTTAAAAAAGTAAAATAACTTATATTAAAAAGCTATAAGAAGTGTAATAAGTGTAAAAGTATATAAATAGTAATAAATTTTTTTTTATAGTACTACTAAAAATTAAGTAAGTTATAGCTTTTATAGCTATTAATAATAAAAAGCTAATAAGCGCGTATAACTTTTTTTTTATATACTTATTAAAGTGCTTTAACTACTATTGTAACGATTCTCATGAATCGTTCCATCTCGGGTCGCCCGGAACCTATCCGAAGGGTCTCTGTATCGGCTCCGACCCTAGCTCGACCCTGACTTAACTCTGCCTAGCCCCCTACTGTTACCCCTATTCCCTCATGTATTTAGTCGCACCTTGCCCCTATAGCTAGCTTAGTAGTTTTCTAATATCCTTTTGTACAAGGCCTATAGGTGTTAATAGCATTCCTAGATTCAGAGTCCCCACGCACTTCTATATGCCTCTAAGTGGATTCCTACTGCATTTAGACCTATTGTCTTGCCTGCGCTGTTATATTATATTAGAAAACTTGCTTTTGCTA